AGACTAAGGGGACACAGTGTGCCTGATGTGATCAAGCAGACGCCTTCCATTCACCTACCTGGTTTGCCCTCCCCTAACCACACTCACCACCACACCGCAAGCTCCATTCCTGCCAGGGACTAAAGATGTCTTCCCACTCTCCAGAACTACAACTTTGCAAGCACTGGACTAGACCATGTTATTCATATCACCCAGGGTACTTGGCAGTTTTAGGCAACCAGTAAGTACTAAAGTAATACCTGCTGACTGATACCTGCCCATTGCTTGCTTCCTTCCTCTCCACACTGTGGTCATCTTAAATGATCACAAGTTATATTATTTTTATTAATTTTTACTTGAATAATTATCTCTAATGAGTACTTAGATGGTGATGGGTGGGGTATAATTTTATTGCCTACCATCATAAACTCATAAGTAAAAAACAAAAAAGTACTTAAAATGACTTAAAAGAATGCAAGTTTATTATCTGTATCATCAATCACACATAAATAGTAGACATAAAACTTTCTAATGAATAAAGTGTGCAATAAAAATAAACATCTTGGTTTGACACTTAAGGAAGAGGGCTGACTGGGAAGACCAAGAAACAGACACAAAAAGATAGAAAATAACATCAGAGAATGAGAAAAATGCACGTGGACACATATGCATATATGCACAACACCCGCACTCACAACGTGATATGTTATGGTGGATCACACCAGGCTTTAGACTTAAAAGCCTGGCTATTACGGCCACATATATAGACTTTACAATCAGAAATACATGGAAGTCAAATTGTGGCTTTCTACCAACTCTGACTTGGGCACATTCTTCGGCTTCCCTAACCCTCAATTTCTTCAACTGCAAAAAGGTGATCACGACATCCACCCCATAGAGCAGTGCTTTGCAACCCTTATTTCATTCTATTGCTTCTTGAAGAGTAAATATGCATGCAAAGTACTATCCCAGGGCCTTTAACAGATTTTTTTTTTTTTTTTTGGCAATCAAAAAACTAAATTAGTTTATCACCTTTTGGTCTATATCCCTTCTTCACATAATTTGTATTTTCAAAAGTGATATGTTATATACATTAACGAATACTTATATAAATATAAATATTCCTACCCACAAAAAGTTAATAAATCAGACTTTGGGTTCACAAAATACAGTCACTACATTCATGGGCCAGATAAAATGAAAACCAAACACCTTTTCCTTAGAGAAAACTGTCTGATGATAATGTCGGCCCTTTCCACAAAGCCGTCCTACTACGATGAAGAATCTTCTCAGAAATGGAGACAAGACGTAAATAACACAATCCCTTCTCATGAAAATAATTACCGGTGTGACTCATCTAAGTGCTTCTACGTACATGTTACAGTATTACCCAGTTAAGCTTTTCTAAATTTTGCCTGATGATAAGAATGCATCTGGCAAATTTGTTAAAAGACAGATTTACCCATGGCCCACCTGGAACATCCTTCAACATTCTCCAGGGAGGAGCCTGAGAAGTTCTATTTTAGTGACAGCTCCAGGTGATTCATGATCAGGCAAGATGGATTTTCTCAGCATTTCCCAAATGTTAAAGTATAGGCAAAAATGCAAAAGGAGAGCTGGCACCCACATCAGATTTCAATAGAATTTATCTTGGTTTATTTAAAAAAAAAAAAAAAAGTATTTCAGCAGCTACTTAAGAGCAGGAACATTCACTGACTCAATACGGTATTCTTCTCTTCAACTTCCCCTGCCAACACCCACTCCACACCCAAAATATGAACTTGGTAAATATTTATCTTCTGAACAAACATCAGGTTAAATAAGAGACTAATAAAACTTACAAGAAAGCATAGCTATAATAGGATTCCAACAAGAGTAAATTAAAATTAAAATGTGGTCCTAGAATATCAGTATTTTTAATCACTTTTGAACATGAAATCAGAAGGTGATAAACTCAAGTTGGAGGGGAAAATGTTACATATTTATTTTCACTAACTTCTTCTTTTCTTTCTTTTCTTTTTAGGAGACAAGGTTTTACTCTGTCTC